GTCTCTCTAGGACATAGATCCACTGTCACTACCACCGTGTGTGAAGGGGAGGCCTGGACCGTCTCTACGGGACATAGATCCACTGCTACTACCCCCGTGTGGGTTTAGCGAGCTTCTCAATCGATGCTATTAAACTCTTATCGATGATCAATACAATCGATAGCTAGCCATGCTTCATCTCAACACCCATCGAACCACGGGGCGCTAACCTGCCAGTGTGCTAGCCCCAGCATGGTTGGATGCACTATATTGCACTATATTGCACTATATTGCACTATATTGCACTATATTGCACTATATTGCACTATATTGCACTATATTGCACTATATTGCACTATATTGTGTTGAATCACGTAAGTCATAGCACTAGGGTTCTCCCCTCCCTCGTTTGCATACAGTCACAGCCTACAGCAGCAGTGGCTGGTGCGCTCAGCCGCAGCTCTCATGGGTGGGGGGAGGGGGAGTGAGTGGAAGGGGGGTGAGGAAGGAGGGAGGGAAGGGGAAAAGAGGGAAGGGGAGAAAGAAGGGAGGGGGAGGGAAGGGAAGGGAGTGAGGGGGAGTGAGGGAGGGGGAGTGAGTATAGTGAGTAAAGTATCCTCGCTCGTCTGGCATCGACATCAAACAGGCCGTGGCCCGTCTCTATAAGATGGAAACTTCGCGCTTGTACAAATATTTATAGCTCGCTCTTACTCGCGTGTGACTCGCCGATGATCGGTGGTGGGGGTAGGGGAGGGAGGTGAAGCCCTCTTCGGATTCCGCGCGCAGAGCGAGAGATGGATGATGTGTAACATCTGTGCGCGCGGATGCTGCGGCTGCTGAGATGCTGCGGATGCTGAGATGCGGGGATGCGGGGATGCGGGGATGCGGGGATGCGGGGATGCGGGAATGCTGGGATGCTGGGATGCTAGGATGCGGGGATGCTGAGATGCGGAGATGCTGCGGATGCTGAGCGAGGCGGTCGACCGCAACGCTAACACAACGCTACATGATTGCATTAATTATACAACGTCGCTGATGCCTGTGTCAAAATGCAATCAGATGATGAAAGAAGCCCACGGTGATGATGATGATGACGATGATGATGATGATGTTGATGTTACGCACACACACACACACACACACACACACACACACACACACACACACACACACACACACACACACACACACACACACACACACACA